CCTGAACAATGCCTAGGACGGTGACGAGGGCGTTGAAAACCAACTCATCCATCTCGCCAGACTGATTGTTGTTTGATACCAGTATACCGAACAGCGAATCGAAGATGTCTCGAAGAAACTTGACTATTTCGCATTCCCCAACAAAGGTGAATTTGGTTAGCACGGTAGAGAGTAGCTCCCGATCTGCAAGTTTGTCCCAACTGAGTAAACTGAGCAGAACAGGATTCTGCGTGAACTTCGTCGAACACAACGACGAGCGAAGGGTTAATGTGTCCCGAGTCGGCGGCGCCAAGCGCTGCATTTCGGGAGGTATGGGCAGTTGTTCGGGCCTCTGGTTGAGTCCCGACCATGAAGGGGCGGTGAGGTAAAGATCCGGCGTTATTTGAGATATCTTGTCGGCACGATACAAGACCAATGTGTGGCTCCCATCCTCAACAAAGGCCCGCTTATCAGGAAAGAGGGGTTGGAACGCAAAGGCAAAGGGTCGCTCGTAATTGTCTGTGCTAGTACGCGTACTGTTACGTTCCCTGGCGGAGCGGTTCCGAAAAGTGAAAAAGAGATGCCACTGAGGAATGCCATGCTGCGGCAACTGCACTTTGATGAGCTCCCCAAATGTCGGTTCATTACACCGCTGAAAGACCATAGAGTGAAACTGAGTCATCATGGGCTCGCCACTGCCCTGAGAAATGACCGATTCGACCGCTCGACCGTCCTCGTCGCGGACCTCAACAGTCACTTGGACATTGTTGGATGTGGGGCCCATTTGTCCACGAGCAAACTGAGCCACGCTTAAGCGTCCCGAGGTCGTGTTTCCTTGGGCAAACTCGCCAGACCAGAGTTTGATGTAAAACTCATTCCGTACATCGCCAGGAAATACCACGTCGGGAAAACCGAGTCGAAGGGTGTGGGGGGTGTCTTGTAGGAGTGATGTGTTTTCGCGTACGATTATGGCAGCATCGCCACGGAAAATTTTGATCGTAGCTGCAATAGTGTCGGCCCTGAAAATTGGAATGTTAGGAGTCTCGTGTACGTTTTGAGTGCAAAGTCACCTAGGCGATTTTTCATACTCTTTGACATTCTTGCTGATAATGTTCTGGTGCATCATGGAGAAGGAGGCTTCATTAGTGGGCGTGAAGATAGGCATTTGGTATTCTCGTGCCGGGGTCACGTCCGCCTCTTCAGCAGCCATCCGCGCCAATTGTGTCAATTCTAGGACCGCGCAGCCAAAAGGACGCCGAAAGGGCGAATCACCCAGAACATTCGCGCGCTGCCCGCTTGAATCCGTCCAGCCTGCAGGATTGCTAGGATCAGAGCGACCGCCGTAACTGTCACGCCGCCCCAAGTCAATCGGCGCTGCGCCATTGGCAAGCTTCAGTGCGCCACTTCGTACGATCCGGCACACCAGGTAAATGGGATCCTGAACGTCCGAAGGTGCGAGGTCAGTAAACAACGTACGAATGCGCTTATTTGGATCGCGCGCGAGAACACCGTTGTGGTTGAGAACGGCGCAGAAGTCCTCGGTTACAAACTGTCCAGAACGTTTGTAAAGGGAGAAAAAGAGCTCAGCGGTTTCACCGGGTGCGCAAGGTGACGCGACAAGTGCCCGGAGATCGAGATATACATGGAAAAATTTGGCAGCAGGCGGTCGAGCAGAGTCGTTTGGGCTGCTAAGAGACAGAGAGTGGGGTTTGTGGTATGATGATTGCGGAAAGGCTGAGTGGGCGGGGGTTTGAAGCGAGCCCGTCGCTACGTACTCGGTGCTGGAGCTGAGAGGGTAGGGTATTGATTCGGGGTACGCGACGTTGAGATACGCCAGAGACACCTGCATCGAATACATTTGGACAGCGCTGACCCAGCTGCGCAGCTCTATTTCGCCTTCGACGTCGACGGTTACCAGCGCACCCCAGGTCGGATGTCTAACAATAACATCCAGACCTTGGATGATATTGCCACTGACGAGACGCGTTACGCAGTCGCGCTGCATGTTGACAGTTTCCTCTGCATTAAGCGTCTGAGCGAGCAACTGGCGACGGCCAAGATGCAAGACCTCAATGTGCTCGCGGACAATATGAAAGAGCTTGTAGTCGCGTCTAGCGAGATACTGAAACATGAGAGTGTGCCATTCACGCAACGCAGACGCAATTTCGTCGATAATAGGTTGGGTAGTGCCGGACGCTGTATCACCACCCGATTTGAGGGACGGACGTGGAGGCAGCGGCTTCAGGACTGAGTCCGCCGGGGAGGAGGATCGAACGGAGGATGAATGAAGGCTGGGAGGGTACATCGGACCTGAACGGAGGGACTTGCTAAGATCCGAGAGAGGCCCTATGCGAAATGATTTTCTTGAGGCGGAGAGATCGTGCTCCTCATCTTCCTCCTTCAGACTCCCCATCGTTGAGCCAGCCTTAGTGCTGGACCACTGAACGAAAGAGCTGCCAGGACTAGCTGTGCCATGGGAAGCATTCCCTGAGCCCCAGCCATTGATAGACGACACATAGCCATTAGCAGCACCATTAAGGGTTGCTGCGAGGTCTGGAAGGCGACCTTCTGCGTCGGAAAACTCGTCGCGGACGTATATATGGGAAGCGGGGAATATGCCAATGAAGACCTGGTGTGATTCCTCGGTCTTTGGTGGTGGTTTTACGAGAGCAGACGAGGAAGGGTCAGAAGCGAGGGCCCAGGTGACTGGGGGCCGCCGGGTGGTGCAGACGACATATCTGCAAGTGGTCAGCTGAAATATAGGCGGAATGTCGTTGACGCACCCTCTATACCATATTCCTTCAACCTCCTTTCCGCGGGGAGTGTACTTTTCAAACGCATAGATCTCGTCGCCGACCTCGAGAGACACGACATCGCGGTGGACGAAGTGGTCGTCGCCAGTGGACGACTCTGTAACAGTGGAAAGTCGATTGCGGGCAGAAAAGCGTGTGTCGCGGCGGGAAGGTGAGAGCGGGTGAACGGCATATCCATAAAGGATGAGGGGGAGAGGGCTCCAACTCATGGAGGAGATCTGGAGCGACTCTGGCCAGTGCTATAACTTAATGCCTCGGTGGTGATGGTGTCACGGTCACGAATAATGAACTTGGACCGTCTCGTAGCCAACACACAAGCAATACGCGCCGCCGCCGCCTCGTCGCTCCCCGCGTCTCCCTTCACGCGCGCGATTCTTCATACGCCCCTTGGTGATCTTATTCGCGATATTGAACCCGCAGAACTTGGTCTCTTTACGCCCCAGCTCGCGCGCACCGAGTTCCATGGGCCTGCTCCCCGCAAAAAGCAGGACCCCGAAGTCTATGCCCAGGCAGCACTCTCCTACATCGAGCGCTATCATTCCATCCGCCCGATGCCCCGTGCCTATGCCGAGGTTGTCACCATGCTCGACCAGCTCGCTGCCACTCGCGACAGCATTCGCGCTCTAACCTTGGCCCTGGAGCATATTCAATCCTCCGAGCTCAAGCCACGTGCAGATCAAGAAGAGCGGCGCGTGCAGCAGCTTCAGGCTAAACTTGCGGACCTCAAGCAACGCGTAGGCCTCCCATCATGTCGCACACATACACTCATTCGCTGGCCATCAGAAAGACGTCACTGTTGCCCAATCCAAACCGCGCAAATGCTCAGAACATTCTGAGGCATTGGTCCCGCCGTCTCCGTCGACCCCCATCCAGTCTCCATCCAAATTTGACGAGACATTCCATACGCCCGCAGCCGCTGCCCGCACCCTTCGCTTTACAAATAACCTGCTCATGGATGACCTGCTCATGGATGAGGAAGTCGATCTCGCAGACGTTTCTACTGCGTCGCCAGAGCGAGCAGGAAGCTTTGCGAACCATACTGGAAACGACAGAGCGGAAGAAGCTGTAGAACCTTTGGACGCGCCTCCTGAACAGGACGACGAGATAATCGTGCTTCCCGAGCCATCCGTGAATCCGTCCATGGCCCCTGTTCCGGCTTGTGTCACCGAGACACCGAAAAAGGGCAAATTACGCGTCAATTCTGAAGTGGAACGTATAGTCGTATGTGTATGGTATCATTTTGGCACGTCTAATCCAGTTTGCAGGCGAAAATCTGGTCAACCGCTGGGGATATAATCATGCCTGGCCACCCATTCGACGCATCTGGGACCGGGACAGGGAATAAACCTCCCCGCGCAAAGGAGACGATGCAGGTACCTCCTTCCCATGCCACGCCCTTGCTCAAATCATCGCAGCGCTCATCTCCAAAGCGTCGCTGCGCTGACGCCAACACCCGCCTCTCCCTCTACAACTATCTCCTCCATTAGTGCGCCTGCGCCAACAGGGCCGACGCCGCAACAAGTCCTCACCGCGCATCTGCTTCTGGAGCTCCTTGGAAGCGGGCCCCAATATTCCATGCCGCTTAGCAAGGTGAAGGAGGCTTTGGCAGCCAAGGCGAGCACCAGTGGTGGCACTGGACTTGTTCTCGGCGGGCAGAGCACAACACGCGTGCTCTATGGTTGCGTCGCCAAACGCTTGGTGAAGATTGAGCGTGGTGGTGGCGAACAAATTGTCAAGTTTGACGTGTAAACCTGTATCCGGTGAGTTTCCTCGGGCACCTGGAGCGGTCAACTAAGCAACTACACAGGAAACATTCACTTCTTACAATATTTGTATTAATATTGGGGACTGTAGTGTAACGACTGCCTGCGGTGCTCGCGGTGTGCCTGTGGCCCATTGTGCATCGCGCGCACCTCTAAGCTCGTTGACGCTCAGGAATATAAAATATAATATCCTCTTCTAAATAAAATTTGGTAATAAAGCTATGCTTAGCAGAAAAGGATATCGACACGCGATGCGACTTTTTCGTTTGCCCGTCGTCTGCTTGTTGCTCAAGGGGAGCTTTTCTTGTCCCCAGCTTTATGGCGCCCTGATGATTTTAAAAAAATGGGAGGCAAAAAAAAACTACGACACCTGTGCGATTCGAACACACGAAATGCTCTGAGGTCACGAAATGATTTTGTTTTAAAATGGGAGGCAAAAACACTACGACACCTGGGCGATTCGAACACCCGCGGAGAAACTCCAACCGCTTAGCTAAGCTAGCACGTGAGTGTACTAATTATAGCAGGCGATCGCCTTAACCACTCGGCCAAAGTGTCCTTGAGGGTAAGGCTGTATTTACTTTATACATTGTAATGATACATAGTCGCCCTAAGCACCTCGTGCCAACCTTCGAGCCTTGCGCGCTTCAGCAGCATCCATGACCGACAAGTCGTCGCCGCCGACCGCGCGCAGTCCAGAGAGCGCCAAATATGTTCTTGTGTGCCACGGCGGCGCTGGCACCATGAGCAGAGCAGGTTCCACTCCCGAACAGCGCGCCGCCTACAGAGCCGGGGTCCGCGCTGCGCTCCAGGCCGGCTACGAAATTCTCAGCCAAGGCGGCGAGGCCATGGACGCCGTCACTGCTGCAGTGTCCGTCATGGAGAGTCCGTGCCCTCTGCGTTCGTTTTGTCGCCTTTCTTAGTGTCGCTCACAGATTGTCCGCTCTTCAATTCCGGTACGAAGTTACACGCATTTATTTGAACAATACACATTGTCCACTAGGCAAGGGCGCCGTGTTCAACGTTGCCGGAAAGGTGAAATTCAACGGCTTTTCGCCTTGTGCGAGACTCAGTTCCTACAGAACGAATTGGAAGCGTCAATAATGCTCTCCAAGCCCCCGGCGTCGCACCCCGAAATCCCGTCCTCACGGCGCGGCGTCGGAATGACGCTCCTTCGCCACGTCCGTAACCCCAGCAAGCTCGCGCGCGCGCTTTATCTCGCACCAGACCTGCTCCCCCACACCTTCATCTCGGGCGCGACCGCCGAGAGCCTCGCTGAATCGCTCGGCGAGGAACTTGTCCCCGAGTCGTACTTTTTCACCAAGAAGCGATGGCTCGAGCACCGCCGTGGTCTCGGCCTACCCGACTCGGATGATGAAGAGAAAGGTTTCCCATTGCTCGACCTTCTGCCCACGGGCACGGTCGGAGCCGTCGCGCTGGATATTCGTGGCTGCATCGCCGCACTAACGTCAACGGGCGGCCGCACAAACAAGCTCGTTGGCCGCATAGGAGATACACCACACATGGGCTCTGGCTTCTGGGCTGAGGAGTGGTCGACCACCACAGGAGGGTGGTTGCAGAATTTACTGCCCAAGATGTGGCGTCTGCCCGTCCCCCACGCTGTTGGCGTTTCAGGAACGGGCGATGGCGATGTAGGTCTGCGTACTCGAGTGCATCCGTCTTTGACACTTTGCAGTACTTTATTAGGTGTGCGACCGCTGTCACAATCGCGTCCCGCGTCAAGCACCTCGGTGAGCCGTTGCAAAAGGCGGCCGAGTTTGCGGTCGAGGAACTACGCCATCATGGTGGCATTGGTGGTGTCATCGCGCTCGATAACAAGGGAAATGTGGCCATGCCCCTCAACTGCCCAGGCATGTATCGCGGTGTCATCAGAGAAGACGGCGTGCCTTTGACAGCGATTTTCGACGATGACGTTCTTGAGTGAGAGTACAATTACAGCTATATGTATACTATATGGTTGCTTTCTGTACGGCCTGTTTCAGTCGCTGGCGAAGCGGGCTGCTGTCGCGAGACGGCTTTCCCTCCGTAACTGGGCTTTCCGAGTGTCTTGGACTTGCTGGCGTGGTCTCGACTTCTCCCTCTGCTACAGGCTCTACCGTTTCTGTCACAACTGCTACACGTGTCCATCGCCTGAAGCGAGTATACTGGACGATTGTCAGATGATCCCGGGAGTACGCGAGAGACAGACCTTGCCCATGCCGCCTTTGGCACTTGGTTTCTCCCACTTGTTGTCCCCATAAACCCAGCCATCTTCGTCGGTGAAAAGTTCCTCTGATTCAGCAGATGCAGATTCTTTATCGCACTCGGGCTCATCGGCGGGCGGCACGGGTGCTGAATGGCTGCCCGAGTCGCGCATCTTGAGGGCGGCCTTCACAACCGCATTCTCTTCCTTTTCACTGGGGAGGGGCTTTTCAATGCGACTCAGTGCTGTAGAGCCTTCTCTGCGAACTATTACACGCCATTCATCCTCCTGCCATGTCCATTTTGCACAGCGCTTGACATGGCTAGAGCCAGGAAGGTACAGTGCGGTGTCCTCGGGGAGAACAAAAGCGTTGGGTGGAGCAACAGCAACCTGGGACTCGGAACACCATGACGCGCGCTCGGCAGGGAGCAGAGCCGCGGTCCAGTCGAGCCCCATCCACCATCTCTGGTTCTCGTAAATCGTAAAAAGGAAGCGGAGAGACTTTACGGGGCCCGGGGCGGCGGCTGAGGCAGCAGAGAACGCGGACGGAGACGCCAAGGGTAAGGACGGTTGACCAGTAATGACGGCCATCATACGATATATTGTCCAGCGGAACCAGGCGTTGCGCCACAGTGAGTTGCGCAGTGCGATGGCCCACGGAGCCCGCCACGCAAGTAGGGCGGTCCCTGCGATAGCAATAAGCACGCGCACGCGCACAAAATGCGCGAGGAGCAGATATGGGGCGTATACAATTAGCGACGCGCGTATGAGTACTTTTGGCGCAGTTAGAGTCGCAGGGATAGATGGAAAAACTGGGATGAGCGTCTCGATAGCTGTCAGATCCGCGACCACGGTTTGAATAGTAGATTCTGACGCCAGTGGTGGCGACGATCGCGCGCGTGTAGACCATGAGGAGAAGGCGAAGGTCGCTATGCAGGCGACAGGCAAAAAGTACCGGAGAACAGGCTCTGCCAGGAGGACCGTTGCCCACCACAGAGCGATAAGGAGGAAAACATCGTAGGCGGATGTCCAAGCGATTATCTCAAGCACGCGCCGGATCGTTTGGATTGGCCGCGCAAGGGCAACCAAGAGAGTGGTGACTGGGAGAGAGAGCATCGTGCACCGTGACATCGCGTCGCGTCGTCACGGTCACTCCATGTAATACGCGCTTAGACCGATGCCGATGTCGAAGGCCAGCCCGACAGCGCGGCCCCATTCTCGACCCCCATATACGCTTCTCCTGCTGCTGATCCTCATTTCTCGCCTTATCACCGCGAGTCTCCTTTTCCTCGCCCAGCTGTTCCCTCTTTTTGACGCTGCCACATCCCACATACTCCTTCGTTGGGACGCCCTCCATTTCCTCCATATTGCACGCAGCGGATATGTCTACGAACACGAATGGGCCTTCTTCCCGGGCCTCCCACTTATCCTCTCCCTCTTTTCTGACTCTCTCCTTGCTCCAACTCTGTTTTCACTCGCGATATCCTTCGACACGACCCTCACGATGTACAGCCTGTCTCTGCATCATCTTGGATCACCAGCTCTTGCTAGGCTCGCCGCCGTCTTGACCCTGCTTCCCAGCAGCCCCGTTACTCTCTTCCTCGCACCCTATACGGAGCCCTTCTTCACATATCTCTCCTACAAGGGCATGCTTTACTGCGCGAAATCCCATTACCTTTCCGCGGCCATTTATTTTTCCCTAGCAGCTACTTTTCGCTCGAACGGCTTCCTTCTCAGCGGCTTTATCATCTGGGGTCTCCTGGTCGAGCCCTTCCTGCAGCGGAAACAGGTATGCGGTCTATACTCCCTTACTCTGTCCTTATTGACGCATGCAGATTTACTTCAGCTCGATATTAACTTGTATCATTCTGTCTGCATTGCCCTTCACTCCTTTCATAGCGCACAACTACGCTGCCTACTCAGCCTTCTGCTCCTCAGCCCCGCTTGCGTCATGGTGCACCCGTCGTCTTCCGTTTATATACTCGTATGTCCAGGGCCGTTACTGGAACAGCGGTCTGTTTCGCTACTGGACTTTACAACAGATCCCTAACTTCCTTATTGCCGCGCCTCCACTCCTTGCCATCTCCTTCTTCTGCATCCATCACTTGCGCTACTGGCTAAAACCAACCGTTGCACCTGGTCAGGCATTCCTCTCTGCATCCATCGCTCCGCACGCTATCCATGCCCTGATTATGTGTGCAATCCTCCTTTTCGCGTCGCATACGCAGATCGTACTCCGGCTCGCATCGTCTATGCCGGTCACGTATTGGGCAGCTGCCTGGCTCCTCGTCGAGCACCCCAAGGGGGGCCGTGCGTGGGTTGCTTGGAGCCTCATCTGGGGCGCACTCTCCACCATCCTCTGGGCAGTGTTCCTCCCTCCAGCATGAAGTTGAGTCTCGGAACTCTGGGCGCTGATTTCTGCGCAAAGGGGCCAACGCTAGTTGGAATCTGAGCGCTCACACTTCACGCCGATGCCGTCACCGTGCAAAACGTTACCACAAAGGGAGCTTCCCATTTAGGAATTCGTGATGGATCACTACAAGAAAAAATTGTTCTTTTTAGTCAACTACGTAGTCAAGTACAGTACGATATCAAGCAGAGGTGGCCGTAGTCTGCAATAAACGGTGTTAGTACAGCGAAAAATGGGAGCCGATGACAAACCAAAGTAGAGTCCGTAACTGATGCATCGGCGTTAGCTGCTGCTACAGTGGCTCCTGCATGCGCAGCTACCGTAGTCTGCAATAAATAGTGTTGAGGACAAAGTAGAAGTGGAAACCAACGACAGCACAAACCTCTGTAGCTGATGGCGTATCAGCAGTAGCCACGACCGCAGTGGCTTCTGTTTGCGTGGCTTTAGCTTGCGTGGTTCCCGCTTCAGCTGCTGCGGTCGACTTGGTGTTCTCAGCGGTGGACGCTGACAAGGGATTTTGAGTGCTCTCCGATGCCGCGCTGGCCGCCGTTGAAGCCTCGACACCGGATGTTATAGGGGCGGATGACACATCCGACACTGACACGAACGCTGACGCCGGTGCTGACGCCGACGCTGACGCCTGGGAAGCGCTGATCGACATCGCCGCCGCTTTCATAGCAGCTTCGTCAAGTGTTAGGGTGTAGTTGGTAGGTACACTAAACTGCACGAGGTGCAGCCACGGGATCGTGTACCCGCCTTGTCCAACCTGAACCGTCGCCGCCGCGGAGAGGTCCAGTTTTTCGTCGGGGATGATGGCAAGTGCGGCAACCGCTCCTTGTGTCAGCAATACGTTATTGATCGTGCCAGAGTTACTCTTGCCGTGAGCAGGAACCACAAAGTTGTCGATCTCGGTGGAGAAGAATGCAAATGTTTCGTTGAACTCTC